GATGACAGAAATGGAAATTATAGTATTTTTCCTTTTGAAGAAGTCTCAGCGTGCGGATCTGACCATGCAGAGAATGGAAGAATTAAGGGTGGTGGAGTATAAAAATCGTAAATATTGATTTCCATCAGAATAGAGAGAAAGTCACTCTCAGGGGATCAGTCAGTTTCTGCTTTGAGCACTAGGAGGATATGCCTTTGAAAGAGACTGATGACATCTCAAATGAACAGTGATACTCTTCACAGGAGTCCCCAGGCAGCTGTGTAAACTGTGTCTATCTGGTATTAGTCCAGCCCATTGAGCTCTGAAATAAATTACATTTGTTTGTAGTAATGCCAAACTAACTAAATGTCTCTAACATTAAGTTGAAGAGGTGAAAAGATAATTGTCCATTTGGGAGTTTAGGAAACACATCTCTACCATTAATTGATTAATTCATGATACAGTCACTGATGGTTGACCATTAAAAGTGACTATTGATGTTAAATGGAAGTCTGGGACAATTTAGAGAGTTGTGCTGCTGTGGACCAAATCAAAATAATGTCAGTATAACCTTAAAAAAAGCTTTTAGTAAACTTTTTAGTGTCATGGTGCAGTTATAGCAAAAATGGGCCTGCTATTAGGAAGATGGCTGCACATCTTTGGTCTGGTCAAGGTGCTCCATCGTCAAAGAGAGGATGACTCAAACTGTCAATAACACAGATTTAAGAGCAGCAGAAAGTGGTGTAGGGGGGAAGAAAATAATTGGAAAATAATAATATAACATATTTTTTAGAGCACACTAGTATTCACTAGGAAACTCAACATATTGTGTCCTGTCCTGTACCCTGTACAATTCTGACACACAGAGAAACACAGGATAACATAGAACAGGACCAGACCCCAGCAGGCGTACAGACTGCATCCTACAAACCTATAAAACATAAAATGGAGTTTTCCTTCCTAAACCAATACATTACAGAACAGATTGCATCTCTTTGTTTTTTTGTCAAAATGACATGTATTTCGACAGGGGCGGTAATTGTCTCAGTGGACTGCTGCCAAGAAAAACAAATAGAACAATGCAAAATGGCAAATTATTGTTATGACTCAAACTGCAGCTGCCTTCCTACAATAATTTCTCATTAGAAGCATGATGATTATTGATGATCTGTTACTTTAGTATATGTAATGAAGTCCTGCAGATGCTTTGGCCTCTCCGGCTTCTGGTTTATCTCTGTTATGTCTAATAATAAATGTCAGAACATACTGATGGTACTAGCCCAGCAATCTTTGATAATGTAATGTAATATGCCCAGTGGATTAAATGTACACTATGGTTGAAAACTCTTAATACATCCCCTGCCAAGGTTGAGATCCTTGCCTGACCACTTGAGATGAATCCCTTTCAAGTGACATTTAGAGTAAGATCAAGTCACTTTCATGGTCACTGGCTGAAGCACGTCATTAGCATTCAGCATGTGCACACTCTGGCTCTTACTACAAGCCCTCGACACGACTGCTACATGACTACAAAAGATGAATACCAATTGTCTTTATACAACATACAAGTGAATGACTGTGATTCCAATCATTTCTCTTGTGTACAGTGATGGTGCTGCAGATTGTACACAGTAACTCTGACCTTCTCACTGTACTTAAAGTTTGTATATTTGCATATAAACCTTGACTTCTCTCAGAAAAACATCCAAAAACTAGTGTGACATACAGGGACATCTGAGCGAGGTTACAGTATATCAATATCTAGTATATATTTTTTAAGGGGGATTTCAATTTGCAGCCACTAGTTAAAGACAGAAGCAATGGAAAATACAGTAAAATATGTATACATGGTCACCACTACCTTGTAAACTATGTAGAGTCACTCAGTGCTGGTCAATGACATTCACAGCATCAGAATGCAAAAGAGAACGAGGGCTTGAATGAACAAACCCAGGCACATGCAGGCTGGCAGACACATGGCCACTAAAAACACCAGTGAGGGCCGGTCTACACTTAGAAAGAAGTAAATATCTGATTAGCAGCATCTGTTATGAAATCAACATGTATGTAGAAATTAGCATTAGTAGCACACAGCATCAGCCTCTCCTGTTCTGATCTCTCCTACAGGCCAGATCTACAGTGACAGTGGGCCAACACTGCAGATATTTCTCTCACTCGTGTCAAAGTAACAGAAATCGACTGGGAGAAAGAGCGGTGGGAAAGTGGTGTCGATTGTTTCTTTCTTGATGAGGTGGCAAGTGAAATTCATGAGGCTTCATTTACACAATCAGACTCGTAAAGATTTAAAGTAGATTGTGTCTAGACTTTGATCTACAAAGTCCTTCTGGCAAATCTGACAAGGTTTTGGCTGTTCCTTTGCAAATTGGATCCATATTTATCTGATGCAAAACTTTATTAAACTTTATCCATCAATCTAAGTCAAATAATCTTTATTGGCATTAGTGTTTATGTACATTATTGCTGAGCTCAATAACATATTGATGAATACTAGAGATATTAGTAGATATTATAACGACTATCTAGCGCTTCAATCTGCTCAGGTGCACCACAGCGCCTCCAGGAGGAATCCACTCACATTACATACTCACTCATTTATTTTTCACATGAGTTGTCGGGATATAATAATTCTTTTTTATACGTGAAACAGGCAAAGTCATTGAAGAACTGTAATGATAAATTTAAAAAATATCGAGGTGTAATGGTGGAATCTCAATAAAATAATAAGTGATATGATTGAAAAGCTCCTAAAAAAAAAAAACGTGCTTACACATTGATATCGATTAATCGCTTCCGTTTTACGTTACGAACCACTATCGTCACTATTGGCCTATATCGGATGTTTTGTTTTTCTCACGTAGGAACCTTTGACTTTCCACATTTCTGCCGGCGGACTGTGCTGGTAGCACACTCCACCACGTCCCTCGCCGTCACTACGTACACGTGAGGAGCGGCGTCCACATCCACGACGGGTTTCTTCACGTTGGAAAGGCCACAACAACACATCTTCTCATCTTATGATTATCGATAGCAAGAGTATGGAGTCCGTAGAGGAGGAGGCGCTGCTCGGAGAGGAGTCGGAGGAGTCGGAGGAGGAACACAGTGAACTATCAGACGATGAGGTGAGGGAACTGTTGATGTGCTAACGTTAGCCAGCCACAGCTAATAACTGTAAATCTACTGTGCTGGACTCGGTAAAGGCTTTTTTTCCCCCCTTCCTCGATGTTGTGATACGACTGCGTTGGTGGAATGACAGTACAATTGTCTAAAAATCTCTTTACTTTGTTTTCACACGTTGTGTTTGAGCGTCTGTGACGTTTTCTAAGCCATTTCTTGTGTTTGTTTTAGCTCCAAGAAGCTTTTTCCAAAGGGTTGTTGAAACCAGGGATGAACGTGCTGGTGGATAAACCCAAAAAGTTAGTCAACAATGTGGTGAGTAAATGTGTAATAACAAACTTTACATGTCAGTGTCTAGTGTTTTGGTGTCTTTCTATCATAACATGTTGGAAAATGTAGGACATGACACATAAATGTAAATACATCAAATCTAATGTTGTGTATGTTGTGATGCAGGAGGGTATGAAACAGTGTCTCGCTGGGCTCCGTAAAGACCTTCCCTGGGTGGAGAGGTTGGACCTGACCAACCCGCCTGCTGAAGACGTCATTTTCAAAGCTGAAGGGAAAGCTCCAACTGCGAGCAAAGGGGACGTCAACGCCGACGATGATTTCCAGAGGGAGATGTTCTTGTGAGTTACCACAACTTGCATTTTTGACACAACAATCTGAACACAAGTTCCACTGAGAAGCTTTTTTTCCATGCGGTCTTTCTCAGCAGACGGAGCTGTGGTGGAAACATAGATGCTTGAATGTACCTTTTTTTTTTTTTTTTTGTTTCTGAGCACTTTAAGGAGTTCTTCTACATTTTTGGATTAAAAAGTTTCGATGGAAAGTTCATACTTCTAACAATGTTTAGATGTCACTGTAGTTGTATCACGCGCAAACGTAAACATACAAAATAGAGTCACATGTTTATTTTGGTTTTGATTTTTGGGTGAATAAGCACAGACACACACTGCTCAGCCAATTTTCACTGAACATTTTACTAAAACGACCTTTCACTGCCACAGAGTGTATCTACAAGTCCTTTTTTGTTCTGTGTTAACTTATAGCTACCGTCAAGCCCAAGCTACAGTCCTAGAGGCGCTGCCCCTCTTAAACAAACATGGCATCTCTACCAAGAGGCCTGATGATTACTTTGCAGAGATGGCAAAGTCGGACCAGCACATGCAGAAGGTGAGCAGTTTCCTCATTACAAGAATCTTGGTTGACTTTAAATCTGGACCAAAAAAATTCAACCGTATTCTATATTTTTATTTCCTAAACTGAGAGTGGTGTACTGAATAGCTTGACGTCTGACCATAACACTTTCAGTAGATACGTTCTGACATTATTTTGGATGATGGAGATGCAGACGGCCTTTGTTCCTTTCCTTAATTAATGTCTAATCTGTGTCGGCACTTGATATTTCATCACTGGTTCAGTACCGTTGCTCTTTCTTCCTATTAGACTTTGGCACAAACAAAAATGTGTTTTTTCTTCCTCTGTCCAGATCAGGAAAAAGCTGATCTCAAAGCAGTTGATACTGGAGAAGTCAGAGAAGGCCAAGAAACTGCGCGAGCAAAGGAAGTTCGGCAAAAAGGTTGGTGGCTACGGTTACTATTATTCTTACTGGATTCCTTTACCTTGTTAATTGGAAAGAAGCAGCAAATATGGAATAGTCTACTTTACATCACTTAGTACAAGTGTTGTTTGTTCCCCCGTAAAAATACGATGAAGTATATAGTTGCCTATTTATGGGAACTAGAGGTCTACCAAATGTCCCTCCTTTTGTGCGAAGAATTAACATGAATTTTAAATGTGTCCCAGGTCCAAGTAGAAGTGATCCAGAAGAGGCAGAAGGAGAAGAAAGCTATGATGACTGCTGTAAAGAAATACCAGAAAGGTGAGTTTTTTTGTGTGACTTTATTCATTATCTTTTTTTCAACAACTTACACTGCAAATTTATTGTGCACTGGGGAAGAAGGGGAGCAAATTGCTCAATTACTGTTCCCCAAAATAATTAATGTGTGAGAATGTTTTCAAATTGAGATTTAAGATTTCTGATCACTCCCCACTCCTAGGAATGACTGACAAACTGGATTTCTTGGAGGGAGACAAGAAGACGAGTAAAGACTCTTCTCAGGGTCCCAAAAAAGCAGTGACCAAGAAAGGGTAAGGTGTTACATTTCAGCTGTGCACATTGCAAATCCTAAACATCGAGTGGAATATTTTTCTACTCTCGATGTTTGGTGGCATTTTCACAAAAGGCTCAAATGTAACTGTTATTTGACAGCTCCAATGCCAAGAGGAAATACAAAGACCAGAAGTTTGGCTTCGGAGGCAAGAAGAGTGGGAAGAAGTGGAACACCAAGGAGAGCTACAATGATGTTTCTGGTTTCCGCGCCAAAGTGGCTCATGCAAAGAGCGGGAAAGGAGGGAAGAAAGGCAAGGGAGGAGGGGGAGGAAAACAAAATGTGAGTCCCACACACATAAAACACTGCTGACTGATTCAATAGACAATTTTGTCAAATTGTGTAATAGTTACTGGAAAAATAGTGTTCCCTGTACTGAATCTTTCCCTCCATTTGTTTTTCAGAAACGCCCGGGCAAGTCTGTACGCAAGAAGATGAAGTCTCGCTCATAAAAACTGACAGAGGTTGGTCAATCGGCTGGACTTGGATGTTGCTTCTTGGCAGGATTTCCTACACCTGCTCCCTCGGTCTCTCCTTCATGTACATCAGGAGACATTTTGGAGAATTGTTCTTCTGTACTTTTTGTACAATTTGCCTTCTATAAGATGTGATTGGATTCAAGCCACAAAGAGAGAGACCCCCTGCCATATTGCTAAGGAAGCTATTTGAAGGACATGACTGGTGAAGAAAAGGCTCCCTTTGCAAAAATCATGAAACCCAAGAGTGGACGACACAGAGCGGCCCAGACCACTAAGTTGTTTTCCCAAAAAACAGAATTTGAATGTTACGAAAATGACTTTTGTTATAGACCCGGTTTTATGGTCTGTGGACAACAGTTTCTCTATATGTTCCTATTTGGTAAGGTGATTTTTAAAGCCAGCTTTCTGTAATTACACCACAGTATCTCCTCCAGCCTCCCTGCCGTCTAATATACAGCGCCTGCTCCTGGTTGGTGCCTTCTGTTTTATTTTTTTCTAACTCAGTTTCTTGACACATTGATTCTCTCCCATGTGGCATGACATTTTATAATATTGGACAGCTGTTCGTTTTGCCCTTTCCCATTCATTAATATGATTAGTATGTGATGGGGAAGTGTTCCTTGTATAGACCTGTGCAAAGGTTTCCCCTGCAACTGTTTTTCTTAGCTTGCTATGGTGCAAAAGGGCAGCTTCTGACGATGACACCTGTATGTTTGTATGATAAACAAATAAAAATGTGAACATTTGGTGCTCATGTTTTGGAGGATTCACATTATTTCTGTGTTGGTTTAATTTGATGAACGCAGGGCATATTCTTTGTGTATGGTGACATCTGTGCTGAACCGGTAGAAGTTGTATCTCATGTCATTGCGGTTCGATGGGATCTGGGGAAAAAACAATGGATAGAATTAGAATTTGAGTAAGCTCTGCAAATAAGGTTTAAATGGCCATTACATAAGACCAAAAACGATGTTAATACTAATAGGGTTTCTGTTTAAATGTTTCCTTGTTACCTAAGGAAAGTGCAGGTTTAGTGTTGTATTGCAAGTAATACTGTAATAATACTACTTCTACAGTATCTTTTTGTTATTACAGTTGGATTGTGGGAATCAAAGTTAGATTTTGGGGGTCATACCATTTACTTTTGTGAAACCAAATCAAAACTCACAAACAGTTTTGTGTAAAGCTCAATATCATTGTAAGACTTATTTATGACAGCTTTATTACACTACAGTGTTCCAGTTGTATCAGTTTTGGTACTTTAAACAACCAGTTATAGACGGTCCGGATCTGCTGTCAGAGCTTTTTACTGGGATGTATTGTTGGTACCAAAATGCAATAATATGCATACAGCTGTGTGCACAGATCCTGTCACGTGTCAAATAAAAACCTTTAACAATATGGATTTAATTATGAAACACAAGAGATCAACCCATTTTCTCTGAGGTGGAATACTCTGAGATACTAAAAACTAAAAACTAAATATTTAATATGAAAAAATCCTTACATATTTTACACTCAGGTTACTTTTTTTATAACATCTTCATATTCATTGCTTTGGCAATCCACCTTTTTTTTTAATGAGCTCCATAAAATGACATGGCAATTTTTTAGACTGTAAGATTAGGTATCAGGCTCATAGTTACACCTAAAAGTAATTCAGGGACAGAAGACTATGTGCTTGAATTCAGCTCCTCCAGCTAACCTGCAGGCTCTGTGCTCACAATGCCTCCCTGATATCAGTCCTGCAGTTTGGTTATTCATTTAAATAAACTGACAGAGCTATTTTTTTTGCTCACCAGTGGAGTTGATATCCATCCTATCTCCTGACTCTCAGTCTGAGGCTGTTTATATTTCTTGGTAGGCTCCTGGCGGGCTTTGTGGAAGGCCTCGATGAAGTCGGCTGGAAAAGAGAAACTTTGCATCATCAGTGACGGCTTCACCCTGTTTGGGGGTCACAGTGGGATGGTCACAGTGGTATGGTGTCTTTGACTGTTACTTATTCAGAACAGAAGAGAAACTTTTTTTCTTAAGTTTCAACAGAATTAATGTAAACTTACAGTTTGCTGCAATCACTTCTGTTTGCTTCCTAGACATGGGTTTGTCTGGCAGGACGTGTACTAAGAGGCAGTGGAAAGACACACACAGAGTAAATATACAATGCAAACAATATATACACAGTTTAATGTAACAAGAGATACATTAGCAGACAGTCATAATGGCATAAAATGCCCAATGCTGTTTATGTTAGTGTCATTTTTAGCTTTTTTTTTGAAAGCCATGAGTTTCCACTTGTCTTTATAGTAATACCCTTTTGTTCACATTTAGATCACAAGCAGTGCCTTTAATGGAGAAATAACATTAGTCCCAGTGAGCTTTTCTTTTTCTAAAATGTTCCATAGCTTGATCTCCAATTCTCTACAAACAATATGAAACAGTCCTCAGGTTTCTGTGAGAGATGTCTGTGTCTGAAATTGTTTTGTCTGTGACTGAAAACTGTCTGATTTGGAGCTGTTTATATCTTATCGCTAAAGGAAGGATGACAGACTACCGTTTGCTGAACTTACATTTCCTGCATGGATTGATGTTGAACTCCGTGTGGAGTTTCTGGTGTCTTTGCTCTTTCCGGATCGTCTCAACGTGAATCGCGTTTTGATGAACCAAATCCAGTTTGTTTCCTGACATGTTTAAAAAAAAAAAAAAAAAAAAAAAACACCCAATCAACACTGACACCGAGAGCTGGCCAAATAAAATGGCTTTCGATGTGTAGGGGTTTATATTTGTTTTTTTATGTGCGTTACCTAGCAACAGTAAACACTGCGTCGTGCTGCAGTGATGTGGCTCGAACACGCGATGGCGCAGCGCGCTCATATTAAGATCAGAGATTCACAATCACACGAGGCTTTATACTGGATCATACAGATATCTCAGCTACATTACTCCATAAAGTACAACAGACACACATTTCACTGAAATTCTAACATTTAACTAAACTTAATATAAGCTTTATTCTAACTGTTCATACAACATTTCTTTAAGATGCATGAAAATCACAAAATTGATACATATCCTTACTATAAAGCCGAGATTAACAGTATGGAGGAATAATAGGCTAATAGGACATTTTAAAAACCAACAGCAAACACACAGATAATAATGTGGTGCACTTTCATTTGTAACATAATTCGTTTTTTGCAATAATTTCTTCTCTCGAATGGATGTTATATTTGTGTTCAGAGAATAAATATATGATATGTGCCATATACTGCTGGTGTTTTCTTCTGTTTGATTCTATGAAGTCTAAAGCACTGTACTGCGTTATTGCTGTTAATAGTTCTTTTTAAAAAAAATGTCCTCAAAAGTTAATATATTATTACAACAAGGTAAAATTCCACTCAATAGGAGTGACGGAAAGAGTATAATTTATTTTTTGTTGCAGACAAGAACTGAACTAAAATATTTATTAATCCCTTACAAAATGATATCTTAACCAGTAAAAACAAAACCTTTATGCCAAGGTTGTGTTTCTTTTCATTTGATATTCTGAATTGCTTGTCAAGACAAAGATTCATAATCTTTTCAAGTCTTAGTGCAGCAGTTTGCCCACAGAAACCTGAAGAATGTCTGAAGGAGATTAGTCATAACATCACATTAAATATTCCATCTATTTCTTTAACTCTGCTTTACAGTAAATATGATATCTTCTGGTTTACAGACATCAGCAATAACTTCAGTGTTGAATCTAAAAAAATCCTGCAAGATTTTGCTTACGTTTGGAAATGTGTGACTAGAAATGTTCACACCAATAAATCTTGTCACTATAGTCTTGTCTCTCAGAGCTTTGCAGTCTTCCCACCAACTTCCCGAAGCCATTTGTTCATCCTAATATACGCTGTATTCCCTTCAAACCAATACCTTTCTGTGCCATGTTGGAAATGTTTGCCTGGAGCAAACAAACCCATCAAAATGTAGTTGAGGAGTGCTCAATGAATGAATATGACCAGTTTGTGAGAAAATGTAGCCAGCCTGAGTACAGTGTGATTTTTGTGTTTTTGCTTACATATGTTCTCTTAGGGCAACAGATGACAGTTGAAGCATGTTTTCTCAGTTCACTCACAAGGACTGTGTCTAAACTCTCTGCACAAACACACACACACACACTGACACGCTTCGCCTGCACGTGCACACGCAGCATGTGTGTCTGCTGGTTTAATAGCTGGAAGCATTTTCCACTAACGAGAAAGAAACTTTTAAGAAAGTAACAACGGCTACCCACACGACCAGTGACCTTGTGACAATGCAGTGTGTGTAAAAAAAGTGGAGTGGCATTTCTTCACATTGTCTGTGAGTACACTTGACTTCACCTGCTCTCACACACACAGATGACAGTACTTTCACATCTTGTAAATAGTACTTATGGTTGGGTGGTTGCTGTGGGTGCGCTGATACACTTTCAAGGCTGCAATGACAATCCTTCTCCCCACTTGTCTCCTCACATTTCATTTCCCTTTCATTTGGTTTCCCCTCCTCCTCTTACTCCAGCCTTCCTTCCCCTCACGCCGTCCCATCTGCTCTCCTCGGAAATAATCGTGTTGTTTTTTTACGCTCTCCCGTTTCTGTCTTTGTTGGTTGTGTGAAGTTTGTTGAAGTGTGTGTATGTGTGTGCATGCTTCTTCTTATACTTACAGACAGCTTAATAAAGGTTGAGATGTTGGGCTCTTGGTTCCCGTCTCATAACCTGATTCAGGTTTTATTGGCCCTGTGTGAAAGATATAATGGAAACAGGTTATAACTCAAACACTGGAGGGGCTGCAGGGGGAGATTTCTGTGATTTCAGTGTGGGTGGGTGACAAGTCCCCTGTGGTGTTTGTGTATGTGTGCGAGGAAGAGTGAGCAATATGTATTACGGGTGGATGGGAGGGCTTGTGGTGTCAAGCTTTGTTCCCCGGCTCCTGTCACAGTGTCGGGCTGAGTTATCATCAAGGCAGCTTTTGAGTTCCTCAGGCTGGGAATAGTAAAAGGCCAGTTTGTGAGTTTATTCAAACTCCAGTGTCACCCACACGCCAGGGAAGGTACCATGGATGGTACATGAGTTGATCAAATACGACAAGGTTTCAGCTAACTATTTTTGTTCTCTCCCTCTAACACGTATAGTTAACAAGGATCAGATTGTAAATCAAGTAATGTGGGTTAACGGCAGGGATCTAATCCCCATCATCCCCTGAGTGTCATTAGGAAGGAAGCATTTTGTTTGGTTTTAATGTGACAGAGAGGAATTATTAATGGCTGACTAGTGTGTGGTGAAGTGTGTTGAAAGAATTATCCTGTAAAGATTTGAGGATGTGATTAAATATCATGCCATTTTCCTTGTTGTGTCACTTCATCAGCTCCCTTCATCAAGATACATTTTAAAATGCATGGTTTTCAAATTTCTGTTTGGCGGCCTCTGAATGCTGATATTCATGTAAAATTCTGAATAAAGTAATGGATGCCATGTTTTTTTCCTCATGATTATATTATTTTCTCTCTGTGTCTTTACTTTTCCCTATTATTCATGTGTATTGTATTATTTTAATTCAAGAAAAAATATCTCCTATTTGTTATCTCTCTCTCTGAGCAGAACGTAGTGTACATTACGGTGTACTTGACCCTGGTTTGTTTTTTTTTCAATTTGTTCAATTTTGAGGACACTATAGAGGATATAATGCTGTCTACTGGCATGCTATCTTTTTTCCTAATATCTTTTGGAGAAAGGAAACACAAAAAATTCTTTCACTAACTGAATTTCAATGCAAGAAAGGCACACTTGTCTCTTCTTCTGAACTATTCTGTGCATTCTTTTTGGATAATAATAAAATGTATTGAAAATGAAAGAGCAGTATATCTGAACAGCTGTATACCATCAAGAGAAAAATACATCCGAAGAGCAAAGGTGAGTGTAACAAAGTATGCTCCGAGGCTGACACTCAAACCTTTCTTTCATGAATAAAAAGACTTCAATTTAAAGGAATAGTCCACATAACTTGCATTCCAAAAGAGGACAACAATCTTTTTAGAAATACACACAGAATGAGACTCAACATGCAGATTGACCGTGGTTCTCTCTCAGATTCCTGTGTTCCCTTCACAGATCACTTGCTGTCTTTCAAGCTAACTCCATGTCCCAGCACCCGCCTCTGACCTTTCCTAACCAAACTATGTTTTAATTACCAGGTGCCCCCCATTGCCTGCTAATTAAAATATGTTATGTATTATTCAGACATTTTCTCCATCATTGCTCTTACATAAAACAAACGAGATGTGCACACCTTTTCCCGTCACACTCCATCAAACCCACTCAACACATGTTTGATGGCTAATGAAAGCAGCTGATATTTTTCTATGAGGAGGAAATGTTTGCTGAGGTTTTTAACCTTAATGAAATCCCTCTGTAGCTTTTTTTTCATTCTGGTAGCTGCTGACCTTTGCTTGGAGTGTCTGTGACTGAGATTCAAAGGAAGCTGTACCATTTTCAATCAAGCACCACTTAATAAAAATGTAAATTGATTTTCTGTTGCACAAATGCAGTCTGGAATAGAATTTTAAAGAGCTGCTTTCATTGAAAATGCACCAGTATAACCAGTGATAAGCATGGTGGAGATATAGTAACATTCAAAATTAAGATAAGCACAGTGTATGTTTGGTATATATATATATCTATAAATCCATAAACGATGTCTTCTCCATGCATTGGCCTGTGGTAAATATTTTCATATTTTTTTATTTGCACATGCATAAAATTCTAAATATATGCATAACACATTTGAGTCTTCTTCTCCTTTTGGCTGCTCCATGAAGGGGTTACCATAGTGGATCATCTGTTTCCATCTTGTTGGCAAACCGGGCCAAGCCCATCCCACCATGGAGATCTCATGATCCGCATATTTGATTTGGCATAGGCTTTTCACACCGGATACTCTACTTGAGGCAAGCCTCCCTGTTTATCCACACGTGGGACTGGCAATTAGGAATGCACTGGCCTGTGCATCCCCAGTGGCTGGGAAGCAACCTGGGCGTCAGTGTCTTCCCCAAGGACATTTTGACATGTGGACAGGAGGAGGCGGTGATCTAACTGCCAACACTGTAATAAGCAGGTGACCCACTCTACCACCTGAGCCACATTTGAGTATTGAACAAGTTCACTCCTGGCAAAAAAAACTCAAGGTCCACTTACTAGCTTTTTCCATGTCTCATTGTTTTCCTCAGGAGAAAAGTGATAACATCTGAGCAAACTCCATCCATTTAGGAAGACCTGCCTGTGTAACTGAATTGATAAGCAGTATAATTAATTGTGTCAGGGGTTCCAACCATGAAGTCCAATGTGCCTGGTTCAAATTTGAGACCTTTAGTCGCACGTCATTCTTCATCTTTCTCTCCCATCATTTCCTATAATCTCCCTATTGTTGACTCTACAATAAAGGCATTAAATTCCCCAAATATATTTAAACTAATTATAATTCCGTGTGTGGTGCCAGTGGACATAATCCAGATAGGAATAACTGCAAAACGTTTTTGGATGAACAAATTAGTATAATAACCGCATTTTGAGAAAACAGGATTAAATATAGCTATATAGTTCAATGAATATGCAGTGGTTTCTGATGCAAAAGCAAGACCTCCCCACCACCGAAAACAAAAAGGCCAAATCATACAATAGTACCATCTGAACCTATACCTATAAAAATTGCTCACACTAATAAAATAACTTTGATTCAAAGCTCCAATTTCTCATCTGACAATA